AATGCAGGTATCACGCGACCATACAGGATTTTTCTGTCAATATAATTTTTCTACTTATTGACACTTATTATTTGATAGAACATCATTTGATATAACACTATTTATTAGAACATTGTAAATATAAATACATTTATCAAAGGACTCATTTTCATTACACAAATATTCATCTATTTACAAGAGATATGTAACAAATATATGCGATGCGAAATCACCATTATACCGATTTTGGAAACTGCGAAATAAAATCAATCATGAAGTGTTTAATTTATTTTGTGCTAACCTATCTCGAAATAATAGGTTTTTTAAGAATTCTAAACAAAAATCGTCTAATTATATCTCGCAAAATAAAAAAATTGTGTTAAATTAAAATAAAAATGGTGCTAATAAACAATAATTATCAGTTCTCTATGAAAGTAAAACATCAGAACTACTTAGGTTTTAATTTTGGCAAAAAATCAAACTGATAACTATTACTCTGTTTTACGCCATAATTCCTGAATTTTTATGTTTTTGTGGTACTTATTCTTTCTATAATTTGTGTAATTACTTTTAAACGTATAAATACAAGGGTAAGTCAAGGACGGCTCCAGGGATATCCAGTGGGGCCCCCCGAAATTAAAATTCTTACAAAAAAGAGAATTATTATTGGCAAAGACAATAGTCATTTTTTTTCTTATTATTTTGGTATCTATAAGGGCTTTCGAGATAGCAGTATTAGCACAAGATAAACGGAACACCCTGTATAATAGGAATTTAATTTTCTTTCCTAATTCAAGATTTTTAAGATTTTAAAATAAATAAAATGAAAAAAATAGGAACCTAATTCGTGTATTTTGTTGATAAAACAAAGATACAATAAAATGTTATACAGAAAGCAGCGTATCTGAAAATTAGGATGGGGTGAATAGCTCACTAATACTAAAGTCTAGGCTTTTTGTTCCCTGTAATAAGAATTAGATTTTATGTTTTGTGAAATAAGATTTCGAACATACACATTTCTGTCAAGACACAATAAAGTTCTTTTTTATGCAATAAGAATTATGTTTTAGAAAACGAAACTATCACAACATTATAACTTTTAATTCACATTTTATTCCTGAAAAAATTAAAACATAAATCATTTTTAATTTTTAGACAGGTACCAATATCTTTCGTGTCTCTTACTAATCCTTATATTTCGATTTTTGCTTCCATTTTCTGTATCCTATCTCTTTCCTGTTTCTATTACTTTTGTAACTAATCTCTCTGGTACCATTTTTATTAGTGGCAGAGTTCTTAATATGGACTATACTTATAGAATATGAACCACTTCTGTTTTGATGAGCATAGAGGACACCGTGTACTGATATAATATGTTACTTAAACCCAATTCCACATCTAAGTTAACAAATAACCTAGGTTTAAAATATTTTTTTTTTATTAACAATGCCATTTTAATCTTCGCTTAGTAATTTAAACGTCTTTTAACAAAACGGTGGAATCGGCCCTTAATAACCATTTTAATTGGCTTTGTTTTGGTTATTATCGAAAATTGTGACAATTGTTTATGTGTTTCTTTGACTAATTAAGGTAACAATGGATAGTCGTGTAGTATTCGCTCGGATTTGAGTTAAAATGTTTTTTATGGTGGTCCATATATAGGGACTAACAAATTTACTAGTTTTTTCGTACCTTCTTCCTACAGTTCGTATTCTACGTACTTTTTCCACTAGATACAAATGAAGAATCGGTAACATAAATTTTAATATAGCTGGTATTTTTATATGATGTACTGGGTGTTCCATTAAGAGAGGTATAGAGGTATATTTCAAAAAACTAATAAGTACAGCTTTGGGGAAAAATATTTTTAATAAACACGGTCAAGAGAAATTGCTGGAAATTATTTTGTAGGGTGGCCACTAGGGGGCGTAATTGTGACGTCAAATCATAAAAATGTAATTTTCTCAAAAAAATACCAAGTAAAGTATATTGGTAAATATTACTATTTTAATCTTCAATGTTTTCTGAACAAAAAAGCTTTAGGTGTTATTTTTGTCAGTTGTGAAATAGAGTGGTGAGTGAAGGTTAGACTTTAATTTGTAAAAATGCTCATAACTTCGGTTTGGCTTTACTGAATTTAGGGAACTTGGTTTCGTTTAGAAGAACGATATGCTCGATGGTCTTATCTTCTTGTTCGCGCCCTCTGCAGAGTGCGGATTCTGTGTAATTATAATTCTATATGTGCATCAAATTCATAACATTTAACATATTTAAGATCATTAATAATTCATCCTCACAAAGATGTAAGTAACTCACTCTCTTAATAATATTATGTTCCTATGAAGACACACCACACCTTTTGTAGATTCCCTGAAGATGGAAATAAGTTATTAAATTTCCGAAAGCTTGGATCATCTTTAAAGAGTTTTCTTTATTACATATTGCTGCTGCCCCCAATAAATTAGTTTGAATTTTACATTACTATTCAGCAAAGACTACCCTTCCACTCTATATATATATATATATATATATAAACCTTTCTTAATGGAACATCATCGTAGGTACATACTTTTGCTTTGACAGCCGCATATGCTCATGAAGCACCTTTCCTGGCTAACACCGCGTTGTAATTAATTTTTTATCGATAAAAATCAACGTATTGTTTCGATTTAATGGGATGGCATATTTGCGAACCGCCACCAGCTTCTTAGTAGTGAAGGACCACAAAGAAAGAATACTTGTGTCCACCACACCATCTTTTACAGTGGAAACCAAAACTCGATTCTTACTGATATTTAGCTGGCGATGAAAGGAAATAGTAACAGTTTAAAGCTTTAGGAGGAAGTAAGACAGTATCATTAAATTGTTTTTGATATTCCTACGTTTTACTAGACAATTTTCGTTTTAAATTTTAAAGGGCCAACTGTCGCCCGACCGGGTTGCGATTTTAAAAAAATTTACAGTATTTCAGCACAAACCACGCCCATACTCGTATTTGCCTAAAAACTGTTTCAGCTAAATTCACACATTTTATAACCTCTAAATATTTATGGATATGTATACATACCTTTTAATGACTGACCTAAAACTAGCAATAAATTTAAATTAGATTAGAAATAGAGAGATATTGCAAGTTCACTTAAGGTCAGTCACTATTAGCGCCGCTTTTATTTTGACATCTGAGCATGCGCAGATCGTTTACGTTCTATAACTGACTTTATTAAAAATTGTGCCTGTCATTAATTGTAGATGTTTAAGGGCAGCAGATAGTGACGACTTTATAGCTTTCGGGTAGGCTCGCCAACATTCGTGTCAGTATTATAGTGACTAACGTTATAGAAATTTGCAATATCTCTCTAATATGCGCTGATATATGCAGTTTATTTAGGAACACGTGACACAGCCACGTATGGCTACCCAGCTAGCACTGGACGTCGTTTCACGTCATAATCACGTTGAATTTTGGTCAAATACGTCGATGTGATTTTTTGACGCAAAAGTAACGTAATAATGACATCATTTTCGGACCAATTTGACACGTAAACACAGTTGTTGCGAACAAAATAAACCTATTTATGTCATTAATGCACTTAGAGTTTTTGTTATTCATTATTAAATAAATAGAAGGTAATTTATACAACATCGTTTATTTAGCGGTCATTGTGACACCAAAATAAGACGTACTATGACGTTATTTATGGACTAGTTTGTCACGTTCTGAAATGAGGCGTTAAACTGCGCATGTGTACACGTCGATTCTATATCTTTATTGTTTTACATTCTATTTATTAATAAAAGCATCTTTAGTGTTTATAATAAATTTATAATTCTCATTTTAAATCTAGGGATTTTTGGGAATTTTTATTTTTAAATGAAATTTTATGTCAACACTGTTTAGAAATGTCAGCTGTCATGTCATTGTCCAAGCAAGGTTAACGGTTCACGCCATTTTGTTATTTCTGTAACTTGTGTTTGCAACATTCTTTTATTGTATGATTTTCTATGTGTTTGGAAGGTAAGTAGTTAGGAAGTTTAGTGCGATATTATTGTTTATTTTTAGTATGTTTATAGGAATTCAATACGCCGACAAGCACGGCACCGGAGTATCATTAAACCACTTCAAGTTCCAAGTGGCCGACATCCTAGGAAATGAGAATCTTTTAACAAGAGCTTAAAAATGGAGAAAATTGGACTCTTTCCTATTTATAGAACATATTTTACCGAAGGTGAGTGATTTTTTATATTGTAAAGGTGCCTGTAGCTAGCCTAATTTTGTTTTAACTATTAACGTAGACATTAATATAAACACATAACGATAATTTAAACATACACATTCCTGACAGATCTGATTTTATTTATCTTGTTTAGCATATAATAATAAGATGTGAACCATCAAATATATCACTTTTGTGACAGCTTAATGATATAAAACAATTTCTGTCTTTCTCGGTCATTGCTAACTCTATTTTTTGGCTCAAATTTTATTTAAATAATGTAATTTTGTGGTAGTTATAACTAATATATTTTTGTTTTAGTGAAACGAAAATTTAGTAAGGATACCATTGAAGCTGCTTCAAGCCTGTATGTTCGGAATGATTTATTGAATATCTGGACATTGCTATATAATCTTTTGTAATTTATACATTCTAAGTAGACATTCTAAGAAGTAATGTTTATTTAGTAATAGTTCAGGTTATTATACTTACTATGTTTCAATTCAGAAATGTTATGCAGTAACCTATCTTTTTTTATATAAAACATATTTTTATTAAACATTTTTTAAATAAAACGTTTTTATAAACATTTTTTTACAAATTAAACATTTTTAAATGAATATTATGGTGTTTTTTTGACGTCTAAACACGTTATCTGGTGACGTGTTTATCACGTCGCTGTATGACGTCTTTGATCTGTGACATATTGCCGTCATAATCACGTCACTAGCACGTCATAAATTGGTGATTTCGACGTAAAATGTGACGTGTATTTCACGTGAAAATCACGTGTCTGTGCTAGCTGGGTAATAAGCCACGTATGGCTAATAGTGACGTAGAAGTGTGGGCGTGACATTTTGAAAAATCGCGACCGGCTTTGAATAAAATCTATTACTCAGAGCATAAAATTTTAATTGAATCACAGCCATAATCGTTGAAGGTTAGATTAAAATGTTAATCCTTTAGAAATAAATAGTCAAGGCTACACTTTAATCCAATCTCAACATTACTTCCTTAAATGTTATCAATGGGGTCGAGGTACCTTCTTATTATCCTGATGAACTTAATTTAATTGTTTTTGATGAACTATTTGAATTAATAGAAACGCCCTGCGCATCTAAATTTAGATATGGAAAATAAAGAGATTTTATTTTTTAAGTACGATTCATACTGAACCTATCAGGTATACTGTTACTAAATGTTCCACAACAACAAATGGTTCGTTGAATCTTCTCGGCCAGCAACTTCTGAAATATTAGAAGTCCGGAAATCTTCATAACCATCTCCTCCTGAAATTACCAACAATTTGGTACTGGTCCTCGGGTCCTGCTTGGCCTTGTAAGAATTTCTGTGAGGTACATCGCTAGTCGTTGACTGCATCTCTACCGATGTCAAAAATCTTACATGGCCAGTATGACCGTGTGGTACACCATTTACGTTAGGAACTGACGTTAGCTTCGTGGTCGTTGTGGATATGTGGGGCAAAGGCATGGTTAATACTACACCTGCCGATGTACCTATCCAAAGGAGGTCCTTTGCCGTGACCAGAGCAGTTACTCGAAGACATGCAGCTTTATGCTGACGGATTATGTCATCGCAACCTGTAACAGTGAAACCCGTAACAATGGTTAGATTTTTATAACTATCTTAGATGGTTGCGTTGCTAATTATTCACTTTATACAGTTAAATACAATAAATTACCTTAAAAAAACACTATTAATCGTTCTACAATTTATTATTAACCCTTTATAGGATACTGGTCAATATTTCAACTACAGATAATTTTTATATTTCCTAGTGGCATACTAGTTTCATATTCGGCCAGTTAATTCATAGCCCACATCACAGACGCGCTCTGATTTAATATTCGACCATTTAGTTGTGGTGTTTCTCGTCATGGGCGCCGGAACAAAACCTAGGGAGGGGACTTATTTTTTGCATGTATAATATTTTGAAATACTAGCAATATAACTACAGTCTTGAAAAATACTAATATATTTCTAAGAAATACATTCAGTTTTGAAATGAATCCAGGTGACGTATTCGACATTATTGATGGAATTAATGATGATCAGGTCATTGATTCTGACTGGATGATATCAAGATGAATACTTCTTCACTAAGCACTAGCATAGGAAAAATATCGTACGCCAGTGAATTAGATTACGACAGCGATGACTCAATAGGGGACCCAGACTTTCACCCTACACCAAAGAAAGTAACCAGAGCAAGATATTCCTCATCTGATGAAGAAGATGATAATAAGCCCCTCGCAAATCTTCTTCGTCCAAAATCACGTTCATCCAATAAACAAACAAAAAACAACCATTTTGAATGGAACAGAAAACTATATTTGTATGTTCAAACATCTCGATTTCAGTTTGTAGTAATTTTCCCTATAAAGAGTTAAGTAGGCATGAAAAACAAAATATATTGATAACATATTTTATTAATGTTAACACATAAAGTGACATTTTTGTAGTCGCAGCAAGTGTCAAAATGATTTACTTGCATAATGTTAAACAGTATATTTTTTCTACAACCCATTAACAAAAACCTTCAAATTTATAAAATAAATTTGAAAAAAGTTTTTAACAAGTTCTCAATCTTGAATTTGAAAACCAAATCCTTCATATGGCAAATTTAAAACCCTATCTCTGCGCTAAGGAGGCAACTATTTGATTTTTTAATATTTACCTATGATTAAATTGGTTTTAGATAGTTTTATTAAAATTTGTAAATACAGACACAAATATCTTGTGGCATACATATTAAATAAACGAGGGTATAACTCTTTCACTAAGCTATTCAAGATCAGAGTTGTATCTAGGAGTTCTTAAGTAAATTCATTGTGTTATTAAGGAAATAATGTCTATGAACCGTGCAGCATCGAATCCGTCTCTGAAAATGACGATTTCTGAAAATATTTAGGTTAGCTTATTTCAGTCCGTAATTTATTGTTTTTGGCAAATCCAGTAAAGATTAAGACTCATCGAGTAATGTTTGAACTGATTTTTTTACATTACAGACTCGATTAGAAAAGAGCGTTTAATAAACTTTAATCAAAGACAAGCAGCAACATAAACATTACGTGTTGCGTAAAATACATTTCAAACAAATCTGCTCCATCGGAAGTTATCTGCTTGCAGTTACGTATAAATCAATTTATTTTGTTTTATTATAGATATATTAAGGTAGTTCAGGACTATTCAGGAGGTAGCGTTGAATTTTTGTAAGTAGTATTTTCACGCCGTGACTATAATAAACGAAACAGGCGTCAGTCGCCAGTATCGACAAGTTAAAAATAAAAAAATCTAAAAGTTATTTCAAACCACTTTTTAAAATTGTGTATTATTTATTTTACCAATTTAAAATAATTTTTTGTTAAATTTTACATTTTTATAACAAAAAATTAAACAATGCTAATGAAAATGCAAAATTTTGATCACAGTGTCGAAGTAACTTCAAAACCCCACCAATTTTTAAACTAAATTAGCATTACAGCTTTCTACATTACCGACTGAGTATTAGTTGCATAAAACTATTCCATATGTCACTAAAAGCAAACTTGTTGTCAAATTTATGTACCTAAAGAATCGGCAACTCCTATTTATCCTTCTTCCATGGTGTGTAGAGTGTAGAAGCTAGATGAATTAAATAAACCCCAAATATATAACAAAATCACTAATGGACAAAAGAGATATTAGAATAGCCACTTGGAATACGAATGGTATTCTCCAAAAACCAACTGATATCCAAGTTTTCTTGGACTTCCAAAAAATGGATACATGTCAAATTTCGGAGTCTTACATTAAATTCTGAGGATGCAAATTATATCACACTATCTACCCATCAAATGCAGCAAAAGGAGGAAGTGCGTTAATTATTAAAAATAACATTTCCCACTATGAGGAACCAGGCATCCAAAAACCAGAAAATTAGGTAACCATTAGCACCATTAACATTAAGGGGGCAAAATTACAATATCTGCAATCTATTGCCCACCAAGATACAACCAGAAAAAAGAAAATTAACTCAATTTACACAAAAAACTAGGTAACAAATTTAAAATCGATGGAGATTAGAACTCCAAAAACAACCTCTGGGGTTCAAAGTTAACCACAGTCAAAGGAAAAGAATAGCACCGAGCTGCATCAGGACTTGGTTGTACATACCAATTTTCTGAAAAACCCACCTGTTGGCCCAAATAAGATTCCAGACCTTTTGAATTTCTGTATCCTGAAAAATTCTCCAATATATATACAAGTACAGGAAAACTCTAAATGATAATGTTATCACCTACAAAAGATGATCCAATTAGATAAATACCAAGACCTCATGAGACGATCCATGATATGGAACAACTTAAAATTAGGCTAGTTACTCCCAATGAAGTTTCGAAAGAAATTCAGACAACCATCAACCCTCAGGAAGCCCCAGGATATGACCGTATTACTGGAGAAATATTAAAGAAGCTGCCACAGAAGGCTATCGTTAAATTGATATACGTCATAAATGCAGCATTTCGCCTTAAATGTATACCAGAGCGTGAAAAAAATTACTGAAGTTATCTTAATTCCTGAACCAGAAAAACCTCCTACTGGAGTTTCATCATATTTAAAAAGCTACTACTAAAACAATTAGAACCAATAACTGAAAATTAAAACCCTTTGCACTAATTTGGTTTTAAAAACAAACAATCTACAATAGATCAACTACACAGGATAGCCGATATCGAAAAAGCTTACGAAGAAAAATATATATGAGCAGCTATATTGCATGACGTAGCCCAAGCATTTGACAAAGTTTCGTACGTTAGCCTGATACAAATTCTTAAAAAAAATGCTCTCTAGACAATATAACGACATTCTTCAATAATATCTAACGTGAAGGATGTTTAGAGTGAAGCAAGAGGAAGCATACTCCGAAATGAAAGAAATTAAAGCACGTGTCCCACAAGGCAGTGTGCTGGGACCGGTTCTTTACTTATTATACACCAACGATACCCCTTAACAACAATGTGTTACAATAGCAACATTTGCGGATGACACTGCAATATTGACAGTTGGACTAAATCAGTGCATGTTGATTTTACATTTCGACCAAATGAACAAAAACAAATGTTATTTCGCATCACATTTTGCCAAATACCTAGGGATGAACCTAGATGTACCACTTAAGTGGAAAGAACATAAAAAGCGTAAAGAACTTAAATTCAAAAAATGTATTAGCTCCTAGGAAGAAAATCCAAGTTGTCAGTGTGCCACAAACTACTGATTTATAAACAAATCCTAAAATCAATCTGGATTTATAGCATACAGCTATGGAGATGTGCCAGCAAGAGTAATATCAGTATGATACATGTTTTTAGAGCCTTGATTAAGGTGTCTTCTAAATTTTTCGTTTCCTTATAGTTTTTTCAACGTTGTTGTCAAAGCCCTTCTCTGTATTCAAAGTTTTGACTGTGTCTGTTGCTTAATTAATTATTGTGCATTGTACTTCATCGTAAGCTCCTTTAAAATAGTAATGGGATATAAATATTATGCTCATAATAATCTGTCTCCCTCTCTTTCACTTATTATTTCCATCTTATTTTTGGTCTACCTGTTGATAGTGGAATGGTTTCCAAAAGATTGTGTTCCTTTAAAACGTTTATTTTATTGTCTATTCTTGTTATGAAGTTAATTTTTTGTATTTTTTTGTAGTAAATTGTTATCTTAATAGTAAAAAGTAGAAAGAATTGTTTTTAGAGATATCTCCAGATATTTTAAATCATTAATATTTTCACCCTAGTAAAAATACTTACTCGTTAACATCTTTGTCACAGCCGGTGCAACATTTATTTCATAGAGTAACTCAAAGCTTACAACATGGTAGCATTTGAGTATAGCAGAATTTTGTAAAGATAACCATAGGCCGTTTCCAACTATAACTAAAGATGTAATTGACTTGTTATTGTCATTGTTGACCGTAAAACTATTTTCTATTGTTAGTGTTTGGGCGTCGAAAATTTTTATGCTATTGCCACTACCACACCATATTTTTTCATTGTTGGGAACCATTTTGGAAACTGGGGAATTTATACAGCCTACGGAGCAAGTCGTTGAACTGTTTGTATTCCATGCTCCAGCTGAAACAAAACAAAAATATTTACAGATCCATATTCATAATATTTTTATTTATAGCTTCGAAATACTTAAACCCATTAGGTACTGCTTCAGAAAATAGAAAAGGGATTGAGCAGAAATATATAAAACCGCAGTATGTATACCTACAAGGTTTTGCTTCAAGCAAATTATATGGAAAAATAATTGTTCAGTGTGAACATTCTAAGTAAGAAATTAAAGTATTTACTTAAACGTTTTATTAAAAAATTATCAATTCGTAAAAGATTCAAAATTAACAGGCATTTAGTAATTTTTAATAATAATATTAAAAATATAGTGTTATTCTATAATATACTTACATACGTCTCTGTCGTATATAGTGATGTCACCACTAGATAATGATACGTATACCCTGTTATCCAAATATCTAAAAAAATAAGAAATATATTTAGGTATATTTAAAACAGGTATATTAAAGAAATAAAGTGAGGAAGTGTATTGGTTCAGGCTATCAAAATTAATCTACTGTGTATTGCAAAAGATTGCTGTGAGAAAAAAAATAGTAAACATACAGCTATTACTCACATTTCATAAAAATTCCACCAAAATAATAAAAGCTAGTCTAGAAATTATAAAATTCTTGAATTATATATTCAATTTTTTGTACTTTTTGAAAATATATTTTTTAGATATATGAATTTAATTTTTAACCGATGATTATAGGTGTGACCTAAGAAAAAATTTAAAAGGAGCACATGCCTTTCCAAAGGACACTATGCCATTTGACGTGGTCGTCAAATATTCTGATATACAGCTACAATAAAGGTGATAAACTTAACGATGAGTTCATAAATCTATGTCTTATGTATGAAATGTGGAGATCAAAATTCAAAGTCGTATGTCTCTTTCTATGTGTATGTTCCTATTAAACTTTGTTCATGGGAGGGGTTTCTGAGTACTATTGGGGGGGGGGTTAATAAACAGTTAATAGCGATCAGCACCAATAAGATATCGGTGACGCGAAGACCTACATGGGATGGGGGGGTCTGACCCCCAAAACCCCCTCGTGGCTACGCCACTTCCGTAACTATACAGGATAATAGAATTCAAGACGAAAATACTAAAATTTGTTGTTCCTTCTCGTCTGAATTCTTAGAAAAATTAAAGTCTGAATCTTAAATGTACGTTTTTGTGGCAAACAGACTTAGTCTAATTCCATTCTCTCTCTCTCTCACATACACACACAAATGTACATTTACCAGCCATGATCTTCTTTCTGACCCTGAGAAATTCACCTAATTCATTTCATATTTTCAAGTAATGATGGTGTAGTGTAAAGTATTTATGATAAATGATGACAAATGATGATAATGATGATTTTACATATATTTAATTCTAAATTTCTTCTTATTGTCTCTATTTTATACAGGGTGATTTTTAAAAAGGACTCACCCTGTATATATCAGAATATAGAAGTGTCGTAAAAAATAGTACACGTCAATTTTTATTTTTATTGAACAACTTTTGACGTATCGTTGACACGGATTACCCACAACAGATGCAAAAGATGATAAAGAACATCAAAATAAAGAGAAATGTCACCATGTTAAAAAGGAGAATTGAAATACCTTTAAAATGATGTGCCACATGACCTTTCGTGCCATTTAGTATTCTTGAAAGGGTCACTACCCCGTTCAGGGGGATGAACCTACATACATGAATTAAAGATCAAAAGAAGCCCCTCGTAAAATCAAAAAGAGAACGACTTGCAAGATCAAATAGGGTGTTTTTCAATCCCAAGGAGAAAATTAACGTCTTTCCACTTTTCATTTCGTATGTCGGATTTTATGTTGATTTCTGCATACGTGTTATAATAAAATATGTTAAGGCCACTGGTGAATGACCTGTAATGTCATTAATAAAGATAAAACTGTGCTGTTCGTCTATATTGTTAATTGTCTTCAAGAAAATATGGTCGAGACACGTTTTGCTAGCTGGTCTAGTAACTGTATTTATACAGGAAATGAAATTATACGAGTTTGGATCATTTTTATAGTTTTCTGCATATTGTTCGTTACTTAGAAGATTTTTTTATTTTTTGATATTATAAGATACCTTAATATTTCGGTATTAAACAAATTAGAATATTGAAGTGGAATGAATGAAATACAATGACCGACCATGTGATACATAATTGGATAGGTAATTATTAGGTCTGATAGTGGCCAATCTTAGAAGAAATAATATACTCAACGATAACGTCAAAAAATGCCATCTCTCAATAAAAAATGTAGTATTTTGGGAATTTTTTTGATATTTCTATATTCTGAGATATTTAGTCACGCCATTATATAAAACTTGAAATCATAATAATCATCATATTATTATAATCGTTTCAGTTTCATTCTAAGGTCTTAAGATCTGAGAATATATTATATAGTCTCAGTTTTACCACATTCTTTTCATATTGTAATGATGAATTGAAATATTACTTACATTATACTTAAAATAGACGCCCCAAGTTGCAATTTCACTTTGTTTTTCTTAATCCTAATGTTGTCACTACAATTGTAAATGTGTATAGCACCATCTTCAGTACCTAACCACATCGTTGATTGTTGATTATCAGTTTCGTCATTATCTATGCTACAAGTTTCTGAATCTAATTGTTTTTGGGGTTCTTCGTTAATTTCATTATCACAGTTGTCGTCTTCATCGCTAGATGAACTACTATCAAAATGCATTGGTTTATGCTCTTCAGGTTCTTCTTTAACTTGATTATTTCTACATGGCGAAGCTCTAAAAATCATACGAAATTATTTTAAAGTAACTAATTGTCAGTTTATGTACATGTAGATCCTTAAGATTAAAATCTTTCGATATTGCGTGTTTTTTTATCTACCTATCTACCTGTTAAGATAATAAGTATTCATATTAAGATTTAGTGTTTGATTTAGTAGTTTTACCAATGTTGTAGATTCAGTTTTGGAAAAATTTGGGATGTCGGATTGCAACCCAGCTTTAACACCAATAGAAGTTGGTTTTAGCCATGATAATGAGCAATAAATCGATGAGGATGTTCCATATAGAGAATTTATAGGTAGCTTGATGTATCTAGCTACGACTAGTAGAACAGATATCGTGTATGTCACGTCTTATCTTAGCAGAGTGTTGGATAAGCCAAAAAAAAAAATCATGGACAGCCGCCAAAAGAATTCTTAGATATCTACATAACACTAAAGCATTGAGTCTTGTTTACATTAAGGAAGAAAGAGACGACATTTGAAAATTAAATGCTTTTTCCGATGCAGACTGGGGCGGAGACAGCAAAGATAGAAAAAGTGTATCTGGTTCTGTTGTATTATTCAGAGGTAATGCTGTCACTTGGGGATCCAAGAAACAGAATTGTGTTGCGCTATCTACAGCTGAAGCTGAATATGTATCTGCGGCTTCCTCAGCTCAAGACCTGGTATACTTAAAGGGGATTTTAAAAGATTTTCATAAACCCAGTGATTCTGTTGTCTTACTCGTAGATAACCAAGGGGTCATATCCATGGTACAAACCTTTGAAAATTCAAAAAGAACCAAACCTATTTCTATAAAAGAATATTTTATAAAAGATCTGGTTCAAAAAAATATCATAGAGATTATTTATGTCCCTTCCGAAGATAATTTAGCAAATATATTTACTAAACCCCTCTGCAAAGATAAATTTTCACATTTCAGACAAAAACTAAATTTGAAATAAATGATACACGATTTTACGTTAATTCGACTTGACACTCTGCGTCTACAGAGTTTAAATCGAGGGGAGATGTTAAGATAATAAGTATTCATTTTTAGATTTAGTAGTTTTACCAATGTTGTAGATTCAGTTATTTTATCGTAGTAGACGACTGCCAGTTAGTCTGAGTTATTAAAAAAAATAAAGTTATATGAAAATCATCCATTTTATTTCCACAAAGTCCAACACTAATTGCTTTTTCATTTCGAAAATTGTTAAAGGGAAAGTTATATGTTTGTTCCAACTACAACCAGCCACAGTCATTGACGTCCAAGTTTCTACGCTCTAAATAACATACACCGCAGAATCTGAATGGTCAGGGATTGTTTATGATTCCTGCTGGAATAAATCGTATATAATATGTATGTACCTAGACTCATGGGATAGATCCAGGTAGAATAGTCCCCATTCTAACTATATCTTACTTCTTTTATTCCACTTTTTATTTATTATGATATTTAATTATGCCCTTTATATTCTATATGCATGTCTTTTAAAAATAGCTCACCCATTATTAATTCCAGGTACTGATGCTATACATAAAATTCTTGCGTTGCACACCCCATTACAGGACGTAACATTTGGTTCTTGTGACAAGCTTAGTACACATACTTGTCCGACGTAACCATCACTATTACACACCCATACGTCTCTGCTGTTTTCAGATAAAGTCGGGGCAGCGCACGTGAACTGGAGGCCTGCTCTTGTCTTTCGAATTGGTACTGTTGCTAGAAGTTCTGGTAATGGTATTCTGTCACTCGATGTTGCTAAAAAATAAGTAAATGCTTTTGTAGAATAAAAATGAAAAATGTATTCATGACAAGTGACCCATGGAACATACGAGGAAACATCAAACGATATCGTGTGTGTTTTATATAAAAGTATACATGTTGTATTGAAAATTAATAGGTAGTGAAATTCTATGTCATTACTTGTTATTGTAAAAGTGTCAAAATTGTTTTTAGTAGTGGTGGGGTGGTTAGATATTAAATTTTTTATGAGATGTCGCGAGTTTTTGATAAAAAAAATGTAGATTAGAAGTTATTGTTGATAATACATGTAATTTTATCCACAAGTTAATGTTTACAATATCTTTGTTCTTACCTAATTTTTGTTTGGCTTCATGGAGTGATTCTTCCCAAGATGTCCTTTTTTCTGATTTAGAAAATATTATTGATACATTCTCTGGGCCATTTCTATAAAATATCAAAATTAGTTATTGTAATCCAAATTAGAAATGAAGATAAATAAAATGGGAGTTGATAAAATTGAAGAGCTGAAAAAAATTCTGTAGAAAATATTAAAGGAATAAATAAGTTTTTTAGATGGTATAACAAATAATATATAATAATAAAATATATAGGGAAAAAACTACTTTTTCTACAATTACAATGTAACTTTTCAAGTTCAATGTAAAATAATGCAAAATCTTTATTTATAAAAAGATATATGCAACGATATAAAAGATTAGCCATAGTAAGTATACAAAACTAGTATAAAAATATTTTCCATTTCAAAAATCTCAAAAACTGGATGAATTACGGAAAACAAACGTTTCGAATTTCAAGTTTTAAAAAATGACGCTAAATAGGTTAAAAAAATAAAGTTAAGCTATCAATAAGTAATAATGTACTTGTATCGATCGATCACAGAAATAAGATTTAAAATTTAAATTTAACAATATTAACTAGAATCGTAAATAAGTATGTAGTATTAGTGTTGGAAATGGATGTAGTTTTATCTGTACAGTTACATCTATTAAGGTTAAAAAAAAGATCTCTAAAACGTCATAAATTCATAAATGTCAATAATAATAATTAAAAACATCTGATCAAACAAGTCTTAAACTAATCTAGGACAAAGTACTTTAGTGCTATTGAATGTTTTCCACCCTGTCAAGCAACAATGAATATCGTTATGCTCTTAATAAATAACTAGGTATTTTGTTTTTTTTTGTGGTGTACCCTTTTGCAATATTTCATAAAAAGAACTTTCAACTTGGTTACAGCAGTAAATGAAGTTAATAACGTATAAAATTGAATTACTTACGGAGTGTTTATTGTCAGATCTAAACAAGATAGTTGCGAATCAGAATTTTGTTGTTCAGTCAACTGCTTATTTAAAGAAGATAACATCTCCTTTACACACTCATCTAGACTATGATGATTATAATGTAGAGACCAGGCAAGTTCGTTAATTTGATTTAAAATCGATATGTCTTCACTTAAATTATCAAGCTCTATCATGATCTGCCTTAAATTATCGTCTTTAGACCTATTTATTTCTATATCTTCAATAGGTACTTTCATTATTAATTTGTACTTATTTGCTTCTAAAGTGCTCGTCACACTTCCTTGGCCGGATGTTGTAGGCCTACGTATGGTACCGCTCCTCCTCTTAATTCCCGTGATTAACAAGAGATCAGAAAACAGAAACAAAGCTCTATCCTTCCTAGGACCACCGCCATGAGACATAGTTACTGAGTCGTGTCTGAGGTACTGCCTCTCAGGCGCTGCTAAATCAATCAAGCCATCTATCAGTCCTTCTATTTCACGCAGTTGCTCTAGTTCTAAGGCTTCTTTTTCTGTACAATTTATTTTCAGCAATTGCTCGTGTACTTGACGCTGCGCTGCTAATAGTAAGCTGTGATCTGGATGACTTTCGTCTGTGTGTTTGATGAGCCTTTGCAATAACAATTCGTACTTTGGAAATTTTTGTATGGGCTTTATCAGGAGTGAATCAAGAGCTAGTTTGCCAGTGTGTTGTCGTGCAGTAACCTGTAGAGAATTAAACTTTTAATTTAAAATGTGTAATAGTAAAACGGTATTTTAAGAGATACTAATATAATACTGCAAAAGCTTTCAGTTTTTAGGCCACTATTTTATTTATATCATAATCTTTTTTCAGCACGAAATTTTTTGTAATTTGGTAAAACACACGATTTTTTTTATTTTAATTTTTTTCAAAGATGGTGATCAAAAAACGTATTGTGCTCACTCAGATTTTTATAGACTTGTAGTATGTCAAAAAAAAAATACCAACAGTGAAGTTATATACTGTATTATGAGATGGATTTCAAAATGGATATGACACCCTTCTTGAAAATTATCTTTATCTTTGTCGGTTATCAGCAGGTAGGGTTGGGTTTGACCCAAAACACTGCGATCTCTTGGGTCTATTGTATTCCCCTGCTTTCCCCGTATTCAGGTACTATCTTTGGAATAGTCCTGTTTCTTTGGTTAGTTTTAATAAGTTCCCTACCAAGTCTTCCTGGGTCGTTCATTCCGATTCTAGGTCACCAAACAACCGCTCCATAAGTTATCATGGGTCTTGTTGTTGTAGCCAATGGACCATTTTTGGTTTTTCCAAATGCCCGTCTCCTTCCAATGAGAGACATTTTACATTTGTTGGCCACTTTTTGTAAGTGTTGGTTCAAAATGGATATGACACTCTTCTTAAAAATTATAATAAAATAATTTATATTGCAATTACATACAGATTGCTGCAACAGTGGCGCGGTCTTTCATATAATAATTATAGATTTAAAAAAGTAAAATGGGTAAATAGGAATATATTACAAAATCATGCAAATTCAAAAATGTTAAAAAAAGCATGTAATCGATCAGAATTTTTTAGTTTAGTTGAATATATTTTTACATAATCCCCATTACTTATACCTATTTTTTATTTAAATATGTAACTATTATATAAAGCCAGGCATGATAGATCATGTCATTATTGCGAAACCCTATATATTTGTACCTTACCTCCAAAAATCTACCAAATGCTGGTTTTGATTGTTGAGCGTTCTTCAAAGTTTCTCTTGCACGTTTCCAGTTATTAACGTAGTTTGTATAACTGTCTATAACAGCAGTTTTAGAAAACTAAGAAAAACAAAACAAAAATATTATTTTTTTAATATTCACATGGAATTTATCTATTTTTAAATTGATTTAAAAGCTTTACCACTAGCAAACCGATTTAATTACAATCTAGACATAATTAAAATTACTAATAACTGTAAATTCACTAACAACATTTATTTTTATATAGCCAACCTTCCTTTCTGTGATAAAGCCATGTATATATTGATTTTAAAACAAAAATTAGGTTTATTTTTATGTTTTTATTTCGTAACTGGTCATATAACAAACTTTTCGTAACCAGTTACATGATGTTCAACTTCATGTAACTGGTTAATAAAGTAGATTATTTTGACATATGTTGCGGTTACACTTTATATGTCAAAATTACTTAAATGATTTAAATTAATTTTTTGTTGTATAAACAGTTAAATAATATTGTTAGACTCTCCATTGAGCATAAAAAGTTGGCGTCGTTTGACTAGTCGTTGTGTTTTAAGTTCTAAATGGTTTTCTGGTTGACCCTCGTAGGATTTATAGAACTACGATGGAGATTTGTCAAATCCTGATGTGTTTCACAAACTTGTGTATGTATATGGAAAATGCAATGTTTTAATTAATATTTTAATAGAAATCCAACCGTTTCTTTATGCAATTTTGCATCAGTAATTCAGTTTCCTTTATTTTACACGTTTTTTTATGTGACTTTCCAAGAACTATAAACATTATGAACTCTTAATAGAATTTGAAATAATGATCGCCAAAGCCTGGCACAGTTGCACGAATTAATTATTTCGAATAATTGCATAAATCCATTACTGATTTAATTAAAATATTTCTGTTTGAGTTAAAAGTATAGATATTATTTAAAACTAACACACTTAAATTGTTGACGTTTTTTTTATTTAAATTAATTACAAATTACTTAAGAAATCTTTGAATCGTTTAACCAAATGATTATACTACATTACACTTGATTCGCATGATTACAATCTAATCTAATATAATCCCTTAAGTCCTCTTTGCCTTATTTAAGCCTCTTACAGCCTCCATTTTCTCGTTAACAAGAATATTTTTTTAAAGAAATGAGTGAACCTCCGAAACCCTCCTATGGTTGGGTCGGTCATAATGAATCAAATTCTGGAATGCACTAGAACCTTCAACAAAGCAACCCGAAATTGTAATTTTTGGTGAAGGCACTTAATTTGGTCCAGTGTAGTAATTTTCGAGACAGGTCTGGAGCGTAACATTTAGGTATAAATGGACTGTTTTGCTGTTGGAAAGGCAGTTAAAGTAGAGATATCGCAGTAAGCAGATTAATATTGTCCATATAAATTAGTCAACAAGTAAATGTGATATATAAATTACGGCCATAGTGTAAATAAATAAAATAAACTATATATTTAAATAAATAAACGTTACATTGGTGTCAGGTGTGGGTACTGTACATAAATAGTGGGAAAAATGGCCAAAAAACAGAAAAGTAGAAGAAAGGAAGTATATGTCTTATATTTATTAATACTTACCATTTCTAAAAAAACATCTCCGATCTTTTGCTTAATATCCCATTGTTCCAGTCTTTCCTTCAGTTCGGTTAAGAATATTTGATGATGATTATACAAATATGGAATCTAAACAAAAATACATGATCAGATTAACTAAACAATTAAATTTTATAAATAAGCGTACCTGGTAAAATATTTCGTCCACAAGATGGACGTCCAGCAAATGTGCATTTTCAGTAGCTTTGAGGGGTTCCAAATATTTCTGTAAAAGTAAAAAAAAAATATTGATATCATTAATCAAATTAGAGAAAATATTTCAATATCTCTGACACTATTAGAGAATGGAACTATTTTAAAATTATTTTTGAATATACAGGGTATTCAATACTTCAGTGTTTTTAAATGGATCGCCCTGTATTTTATATTATTATAACAATACGAAATGGTATGTGATCGCATGGGGTATTTCCATAGATATAAGGTGTCGACACTTTGCACAAGTGCATGTGAAAAGTACAGAGAGTTAGCTTTAGAGCGGACGAGCAGGAAACGAATAATATCAGCATTGACAGTTTATAAGTCCCGACCAAGTTGTAACCACTAGTATGTTGATAACGTACAGTTTCTTACGTATAATTTCCGATTTCCGTATTCTACAGCCAAGGCCTTTCTTATTTGGACACCCAGTATATCTGTTAAAATATAAATTATAAATACAAACTCGATCAGTTATCATTAAATATTTAAATTTATTAAAAAACTTATTAATATTAAATATTTCCCTTTAAGACTGATACGCCTCTGGCTGTTTTCAATACACCGAGCAGCCCATGTTACGCCAATATAATCGGTTCTCTCACTCCCATTTAGAGATGGCATGATTTTGATGTTCGCTTCCCAAAAAATACACTTTTATTAATGACTATACTCGGACAAAATATTGGAGAAGTTGAAAATTCCGACAGAGTCAGCATAGGCGGCTTATCAAATACCAAATAATTATTTATTAGGTATTTGTTAATAAACTTTATTACATTTGTTTGTCAACATCTTTATTTAAACAAAGATGATGCGTTAAATATACGTTTTTCATAGTATTCAAGAAATGAATATATTTATTCCCTAATGAATTCGTTATCTCTGTTCAATGGTTTTAAAATGTGTTTCAAGTAAATAAACGACAGACGGATTACAGATTGAATATTGTCAGCACAGGTACAAAGACAGTTGAAAACTAACTTTCGACGAAGTTAGATTTGTATCGCTTTAACTATTTACGATAATTATTTTATATTTTATAAACAATTTCTTGTATAAGTGCTTTTTTCTGATATACGAGTAGGTGTTCATGTTTGTGCCTTACAATTTGGTAGTGGTTATATTATAAACCAATTTTAGAAACCATTTATCATATATGATGAGTCATCCATAGTATAACATGGCTACCACTTCCGTCAGATCGATTAGATTAACGTGGACATGGATGCTCCTTCCTGACTATATATGTTCTAAGGTTCCCTCAAATTGCTATAATCTAAATACAACCATTCAAAATCTACAAGGGAGGTATAGGGAACTTTTGGGTAGCACTGTATGTTATTATTATAAATAGCATTTTTTCTATTAAATAAACTATACAAAAATAATGTATTACATTTGCCTGTATGTTAACCTAAGAGGTTTTGTTTTTGTGAAAAGAAGAAGGATAGTATTAGATAAACCATTTGCCATAGATAGCTTTAGAGACTTACAGCTGTCGCTTAAAATACCGAATATTTTTTTAGACTATTCGTACGAAAAAATAACAAACGTGTGGGTGTCCTAAATGAAGTGTGAATTACTTGACGATAAATAAAAAATTTAAACGATTTTTTACGAGCTGTAATTTTAACGAATCTTATAAATGAAGGATATTAAAGCAAAGATTTCCAAATCTTTTGACATTTGTCACCTTAAAACAATAATAGATGCAAAAAATGTTCGTCGACAAAAAAATATTTAACATTTTAGCATATGGAAGCTTTCGTCTCTTTCAATCTGTAATAATTGAAGAAATCACAACAAGTCAGTATAAGTAAACCAATAATAAGTCAAGATAAATATTTAGGTATAATTTAAACAACATATAAGACAGAATGACAATTGCAATACTTTATTTTCTACATACAGATTCAGCTTAAACTTTTCTTAGGCATTGCCGATTAACAGGAGGAACTGCAATAGCTTTATAAAGAGTGAGCAAGCCTTAAATCTCATTCTGTTTGCGTGTCGTAGTCGATAGATGAGATTAGTCAGCGTTATGGGAATGCCAACGCCTTCTTCTATTTTCTCTTATTATCGCATCATATGAATAATCTTCTTTCTGTTGCTCCTCATAGTTTTGCATTATACCCAAGAAAAATTTAAGCCGAATATGTATACATAAATCTGTTACAAATGACGAAAAAATACTGCAATATAGCAAATGATGAACAAAGCATTAATATGATATAAACAATCAAATGTTATTAAATGATCAGTGTTGTAAAAATTCTGATACTTCTGTCAGAAATATTCTAAATGACACAAGCCTACTATAAAACAAGTATTATAGAGTATTTTAAAAATAATGAGATTTTGTTAAATATCAATCTAAGTACTTAAATATCCCATTTATTTATAGGAGAAAACCCTGAATAAGCACATAACGTTTAACGTTATGGCAACAGTGGAAACACTGACCGTGAGTGTTACGAAAAATCTATTTATATGTTAAAATAGTGCAAGTTTTTTAAACTGCATTTATAGATATCTCTAATAGGTGCACTCATTCATAAGATTCTGTTACCTACTTTAGTTCTGGTTTGTTTATTCATATAGACGAAACACAATACAAAACCACAAAATTAATTGTAATTCATAAAAATACATCATTAATATGCAAATGAGGAATGCGGAAATGCATGTTTATACAACCTGAAAAATATTGTGGTTTTACGAAATAACAGATCTCATGTTTCTGGTTTCTGGGAAATGTTTCGAAATAATTTTTTTTATTCTGAAAATTTTTAATTTAATAATTTTCTGACTTTCAGAACGGACCTGAGAAAACTTTCGCAATAAAGTTAACTGCTGAAATGTTTGTGTTAGTGTTGTCTGAAGGTAAAAAGAAAATTTTAATATCTAAATCCCAATCAAAATTTTAATTTTGAGTAGCGGAATAGTAATTTATGATGAGTTGCGTTCGAAGTAAATTTATAGTGTAAACATTTTAACTAAAATAATTGTTTAACTACTTATAATAAATTAAATTTTTTTAATAACGATTCTTCCAAAAAATGATATATAATAAAAGAACTTTCTTGTTCAACGGTTCATATCATTTACCCGATGATAATAACAGTAATAATAACAATAATAATAATTTTTAAGGAATATAGTGAAATGAAAAGCGTATTTTAGTGTGCAAAGTTGGGGAATATTTAAGTATATTTACATATACTATAGATTTACAGAGAATATATGAAACCTAACTCAATTAATATTAACACTCAACTTCGTCATATTAATAATAAAGTAACTACTCCATTTAAAAGTATCGGTAATAATTATAAGATCAAACGAACTTGCCTAAAGTGAAGGTCGATCTTAAATATATGATGCCTTCTCAAAGTAAATAAGATCTTGTTTAATTCAAGCATACGCAGGGATACGCCAAGATCTTATTTACTAAAAGAGGCAGAAATATAATTGGACAGAAGTTGCCTAAACCTCATTTATATTTCAACGGCATTAATCTTGATGGGGTCTGGGATTGCTATTTTCTGGACCTGCTCAGTTGAAAGCACTAATGGTTGCGGCACCAACAATGACTGTTACTGCCAGGATTAGATATCTCTTTATAATTTACTAATTTTTAATGTACTTTTCTCTAATCTTTAACTTTCTTATTTAATCGTTATTTACTTCCATATTTTAACTGTACCAATATAACATTTTTTTTTAAAAACAACATTTTAGAAAAAGAAATATTTCTTAAAAAAAAGTTTTCAGCGTAGGCTCTAAAAGTTATTCGAGATTTCTGTTTAATACTCTTGCTGATGAAGACTAAAACCATCTCAAACGTAACTTATGGTCTGAGAACATGGGTTAAATCATCTTATTTTTATTCCAGGATTGTATATGTCCCAATCTTTTGGAGAAAACTGTATACATCCCGTTGTTTATTTACTAAGTAAAATTCCAAGAATTTTGATAATACCAAAATGAACTTCCATCCAGACTAGGTAATTTAGTATTCATTAAAGTAGCATGACCTTTGCATAATATACAGGTGTAAATCACATCCGCACGTGCCCTTGATTATATAAACATTCTTAATATAAATTTAATCCATAGTATTTATTATTAAAGTATTTGTAATTCTATCCCTTTAATGGATGTCTGATCGGATATATACTGAAATATTAAATCACCTAATTATCGATCAAAACAAGAGACCTTCAGGTCAATAATTAACTATCTCCTTCATTAGCAGCACATTCCACGAATGCAATCCAATGTAAATTAATGAAAATTTTATAAAAAATAAGTGTGCGATATATTTGATGATGAATAATAATTAAATTTTTTTTAAAATGTCCGAATTCACCTGATCTTACAAGAATAATCAACATTTTTAAAATGACCTAAATTATTACAAAATTACAAATCTATACTAGTTATTAACATATTTTGCACACTTCGATATTGTGGCTCATAGCTAGGGTTGTCAACTTTCCAGAAATTTCGGGATTCTCCCGGAAAAAGGCAATTTGCTTTGAAAAAATTTCCAAAAAGAAATTGAGTGGACTAAATTAAATATGCCCATAAATGAGGATTATTTATTGCAAGCAAAACAATGAGAGTAGATTTGTTTTGGTTTAATTTCTTTGCAAAATGTGTGGAAGAATCAGACAATGAGATAAAAAAAACTTATTTCGTTTGATCTAATCGTCTTAAAGAAACTTATTTCAAATCTAAAATTTCAAATACACATGCAAGGAGTTTTAAAATTTTATCGTTTCTACTGAAGAAGTATTGTAAGCTACCCGCGGAGTAACAAAATACAACTTTATAGAAAAAAAATACCGGGCCCAAAATATTTTAAAATTTCATACGCATGAATTGACTTTAGAAAGTGCACTTTGTTACTCTTTTATATATTTGATTTTAATTTTTGTTACTATCTCCCGGATTTCTGATCAACTGAGTTGGCAACCCTACTCATAGCACTAACTCTGC